CAAAGAGTGTGGCTGCTCTGTATTTACTATATATATATATATATATATATATATATATATATATATATTCACACATGTGAATACATATAATATATATTACATATCTCTCAGGAGGACAAATCAAATTTTAAAAAAATGTTTGCTGCTCCTGTTAGTAAGGCTTTTGACAAAGGGAAAAAATTTAATGATGCTCTCTCTCATTTGTCTTAAGTCCTAAGTTAGAATGCTTCCAGCCATTTGCACAGAGAAATTAGTTTTCAGGGATTGCAAGTCTAGTCAAAAGGTTACGATAAAGGAGCCTGCCTGGTGCTGTAACTTTAACACAATGTGATGCTGCTGAGGCCGCGTGGGAGGGGCCCAGGTCCACGCCCCGAGCTCTCCCTGTGCCCGTACATATGCTGGTGAACCTGACTGGCTGCCAAGGCTGGAGGTCAGACTGCATCACGTTGGGGGTGCTGCCCCTTGCTCTGTTTCCTTTTCTTACGCAGAGATAAATAAGTAAACATTTTTTAAAAAGCGAAAGAAAAGAATAAAACAAAGTTAGAAAATGAGGCTGGGGGGAAAATAATCCATGTGAAAGACATAGAATTAAATAATTTAAAGATTCTTTCCTTTTTAACAACCATGTAGTCTTTTCATATAGTCTTTCATTATGAATAGTCTTAAAACTTATTATTCTATGATTCCTCTGATAACTGAGTGGGTCTGGGTCAAGCTTCCCATTTCATGCAATACATAAAAATGCATTAATTCCTTGACCATTACCTGTCGGTCCAGCAGGATGTTGTGGGGAGACAGTGCCCGGTGGACTATGCCGTGCCTGTTCATATACTGCAAGCCCTGGAGTACCTCGAACGCTATGCACAAAACCTTCGAATAGCTACAAAGGGAACAGGAGGACAAACATCAGTTACAAAGCACACGTAGAACCTGTTCTGAGAACCTGAAATGAGACCTAGTAGAAACATGCAGTTATGTTTTCATCTTCCTCCTCCGCTCAGAGAAAATAGAATCTACACATTTTCTACAGTATTTACTTGTACATACTTTCAATTTTCTGATTATAAAAGAATTGACCTGATAAGACCCCTATGGCTTCCTAAAGACTACCCTATTTGTTCCCAGAAAAGAGGTTTCATTTTGATGGTGTGTATTATTTATAATAGGGTATAACTGGGAACCAGCAATTGGCATAATGGTTATGTGGCTGGACTCCCATGTAGTCAGCTGCAGTTCGAGTCCCGGACCCAGTGGCTTAAACTAACACTGGGCTTGTTTGCATGTGTGCCCAAGATCCCAAGAGGAGAATGGAGGAGAAGGGATTGCGGTGTGGCCATCTCCCTGGGGGGTGGTGTCTTGCTTTCTGTCTCTTTCTGTCTTTCTGGTGAGCACATGTGCCCTATAGCAAAAACTTCTCCAAAAATAAATAAATAAATAAATGGGTACAACTGGCCTTTGGTCAGTTTGGCTTTGCCAAATTATCAGGAAACTTTCAGATATATGGTAGAATTAAGGCAATAAAAACCATCTTTCTGACCAACACAAAATGTCTAAGCCTCTGAAACACAGCAATAGTGTATTTCATGGTGTATAAGTTAGCTGATTTTCCAGATCAATCCATGGGCCGACTTCTGGTAGTTTACGATTTACAAACATTCTCACTTCCTACCTTCTCTAAGCTTCCCCTAACCACCATCTATACCGAATACAAACATTCCCACTACTCCCACCTTCTCTAAGCTTCCCTAACCACCATCTATACCGAATACAAACATTCCCACTACTCCCACCTTCTCTAAGCTTCCCTAACCACCATCTATACCGAATACAAACATTCCCACTACTCCCACCTTCTCTAAGCTTCCCCTAACCACCATCTATACCGAAGGCCAGTTCCTTTTTCTTTTACCAACACCATTCCTGTTCTGCCAATTATTTTACATCAAAAATCACTCCTGGGCCCAACCTCTGTGGAGCATTCAGTGGCATGCTGGACTGGGAGTTGGAAGGCACGTCACGGGCCCCTGCCAGTCGGGATGGAAATACGCCAGGCACATGCAGGATCCTGGGGCTGGGCAAAGGGACTGTGGTGTGACGAGCCTCGATGAGAGGGCTTCTCTCTCTCTCTTATGCATTCACACAAGCGCTAACATGAATTTTAACAAAAATTAATTGCTTATGTAGGAAGTTAGAAACAATATAAAAAGGGTAAAATTTTAAGTATGTAAAATTTGTCCCAATAAACCTGACTTTAAAAACAATGATTTGCAAAAAGAAAAGAATCATTACAATCCCACCCTTTCCCCTAAATTAAAACCATGAGGACAGAGATGAGGGGCTGGGTGGGTGCAGGTGGCACAGCTGGAGCCTCCCATCCCGGGACTTCTCTGGGCACACTAGGCATGCGAGTGTGCGCCCATGACACAGCCCGGCTGGGCTTGGGGGTGGGAGGGGGCGTGAGACCATCTGAGGGTGCCTGTCTCTCATAGCAGAAATTCATCAAAGAACATTTAAAACAAGAAAGAACCAGAGCGGAAAAGCTAAAATCTGCCTCTCCTCTTTTACCCTCGTCTCACTTTCCTGAAGGATTATCCTTAGTAGGCTGGTCCTGGACTTTCATTTTATAATGAACTGTTAAGACACATGATAATACATGGTTTTTTCACTATTTTTTTTTTTGAGAGGTTTTTGCTATAGGGCATGTGTGCTCACCATTAAGACAGAGACAGAGAGACAAAAAGGGAGAAATCACCCCTTGGGGGGATGGCCACGCTGCAATCCCTTCTCCTCCATTTTCCTCTCGGGATCTTGGGCATGCATGCACACGCACCTGGTGTGAGTTTAAGCCACCAGGTCTGGGATGCGAACCACAGTTGACTACATGGGAGTCCAGTGACATAGCCATTACGCTAGCTGCTGGTCCCTATAATAAATGGTTTTACAATGTTCTCATTTTCCCCCACTCGATGTTTATTGGTTATATTACATTTACATCACAATGATTACATTGTACATATTCACATTATCAACTTTTATAAGTAAAAGAGCCCTACATTTCTTTCTTGAAGGCTAAACAAATAAAGAAGTAAACAGAGAGTATGACCTATAATGATTAAATGCAAAGGAAAAATATCAAGTATTTTATATAATGTGGTCAGGGACGGTCTCATCCAGAGGGTGACACAGGACCCTAAAGGAAGTGAGAAAGAAGGGCCAGTTCTCCGGGAAACACGTAGTTCATTGTTGGGGAAATCATGGCATATTTTTCAATGTTTTCTACACAAAAAAGTAGTCATGACTTTCCTGACAACCCAGGAATCCAGGCAGAGGGCTCAGCAAGCAAAGCCCCGAACTGGTAAAACACTCGCCAGCTCAAGAAAGGGTCACTCGATCGCAATCTGGCGCCAGGAGCGAGCCAAGAGCAAAGCAGCGCGTGGCCTCGGAAGTGCGCGAGGCGCCGAGCATGTCTGTCCATTAGGCCACTGCAGGGTCTCTGGCTTTCACTCGGAGAGGGAGGGACAGTGGCCAGCACACGGCCACGTCAGCATGGATAAACATTCCCTGCGGCACGACGCAGAGGCGAGAACGGCAACCCGGGTCACTTAACCCGAGCTCCCAGGAGCCCTGTGTCGGGACCAGAAGGCGGTGCGGCAGCAACTGAGTCCACGGAGAAGGTCCCGGGCTCCTACCCTGCGCCCTCCCGGAGCTGCCTCGGCTGCCCGGGTCGGCGGACGGGCTGCGGGGGCTGCGGGCAGGGTGCAGCAGTAAGGCTCTGGGGCACCTGTACCCCTTTCTCTTCCCGTGTTTCTTTCTTTCCAACGGAAGAAAAAAATAAATGAACTTAAAAAAAGAGAAATTTCGGCCACCAGAATAGACACTGTAATTTTATACTTACAACTGGATGCATAAAGATTATCAGCTAGTATAATTTTTCTCTCTCGTACTATTTTTATTTAGCTAGAATGTGTCCTAGAGTAAAATTTTTTATACAAGGAGCATGAGTAGAACATTTTGAAGCACAGCATATCTGAACATATCTTATTTTTGCCCTTAATGTTGAAAAGAACTTCTCCATTGTCATGGCATTGTTTGTTAAAGATGAGAGGTCCAACCCCAGTCTGATTCCAGTTTTGTTGCGAAGTCCTGTTATTCCTCCCCAGAAGTCACTTCCCATGAAGGTCAGTCATGCTGAAATCCCTTCTCCTCCATTTCTTCCTTCTTAGCGGGCTGTGGGCTCACACGCACACACACCCAGCATGATTTTAAAGCCACTGGGTCCATGACTCAGACTGTTCAGTTGGCCTTGTGGGATTCAGCACCTTGACCACCACAACGTGGCTGACCCCATCAGTCATATTTTCAAGTATAGCAATAAAGTGATATTCCTCATATTGGGTGTAAACAAGAAATAACAACATAACTATTTATAGAAAATGCTATAAACTGACTTAAAATGTTTCCTTTATATCAAATAGCTCCTACCATATTAAAGCCATATCAGTCTTAAGTAAATTGGAAATGTGCAAAACAAGCACAATTTGGAATAGAGTTTTCAAAACAAATTTTATTTGTGAGTCATCAGTATTGTTAGAGGTAAGAATCTAATCTAAAAAAAATTGCACTGGGACCAGTAGGTGGCATGGAGGTTGAGACACTGGACTCCCACAGGGTCGACCACAGTTCAAGTCCTGGACCCAGTAGCTTGAAAATCACGCCGGGTGCATGTTCACCCAAGATCCCAGGAGCAGATAGAGGAGAAGGGATTGTGGCATGGCCATCCCCCTGGGGTTGATTTCTCACTTTCCCTCTATCTTTCTCTGTCTTTCCAATGAGTGCATGCACCCTATGGCAAAAACCTAAAAACAAACAAACAAACAAAAACCAAAAGCTGAATTGCATTGATAAATGTGTGCTCAGGAATGAATTAGAAACCTCTTAAAAACAACGACTTGCTAGCTCCCTGGCATGGCAGGAACCTGGACGCTGCTCGAGGGACCTGGATTTCAAATGACAGTGACTGGTTTCGAATCTCCAGCCCAGTTCACTTAACACTTGCTGGGCACGTGTGCAAGTGCCCAGGGCCGGATGGGTTGGGGAATGGAGGCAGGGGACCGCGATATGCCCAGACCGCAGAGGGTGCTCCCCTCTCCCACTCTCACGTGTGCGTGCACGACCTCCATCAAAGAAAAATATTTTAAAAAGAGAAGAAGACAAGCTTTCCTTAGGATTGATTAACAAATAAAACATGAACTAGTTCTGTGAGCTCATTTGGCTCTACAGGTCAACTTGAACCTCTCTGGATTTCGTTCTCTGTCCGTCTCTCTCTCTCTCTCTCTCTCTCTCTCTCTCTCTCACACACACACACATACACATACACACACACACAAACGCCTGCCTTACAGACACTGCCATGTTCAGCTGTGACACTAGAGGGCCTCAGCGGCACACTACTTAGCAGGGACATCTCTCCAGAAATCAGATCCAAACGCTAACAGTTCTGAGACTGCAAGACGCAGAAGACGGCATGCACGCACCCTTTCCATTTCGTGCCCTTCCTAGCTGACTGAGATACCAGACACTAGATTTTCATGTTGGAAAGCCTCTTCACGTTAAAATCATGATGAACTCATGATAATTTCAACATAAGCAATTATGTCAGTACATTTGAGTTATTTATCCTTTCCTTTTCTCTTCAGAAGAAAATAAAACTCTTCGGTTTAAACTAAACCGAATATGACTTACTTCTCTGCCCTTTTGTACTCTTAGAATCCTACTGTAAATTTAGGTTCAAAACATAAGGTATAAAGGCGAAGAAAAATTAATGTTATTTTATATAATGAGGAGACAGAACAATCAGTATTTGTGGAATTTTGTATACTT